TTTGTTTTATCTTTCTTATTAACAGATTAAAATAAGAACTTTAAAACGGGAAATTTGTTTTAAACTTGACATTGATAATCTAAATCGACATTTTTTTTTTCTTTCAAAAATCATAAAAGATACGTTTTAATGTTTCTGAAGTCATCTGAAAATGCAATTGGAACGTACTTCATTGCAATGTCTTTCCAATTATTATTTTGAAGTGTTCTTTTAGTTTTAACCCTATTAAGAAATTACATAGTTGTTCAAAAACAAAAAAAAAAGGCTATATTTGAAAAATATAGAGTTGAAAGGCAACAGCGGAGGACCAATCTAGTGGGTGGTGGATGATTAAAATAACGACGTTGTAACTAAGATCATTATGGAATGAGTTGTACTTTAGGTCGTATTGAACATTATGCTGCAATAAATTTGGTACTCGTAAGTCATAACCCTTTATCAAAAAATTTATTTGTACTCGTCACTTCTAGAATCCTATTATCCGCAACGGACTAATGTAAGAACACGAATATGTTGTTGAGATCAGACACGTACTGTACTATGATGGAACAGTAAGTTTTGTTTTTTGATAAAGTTTGGAATCGTTTACAATGGGACTTTTTTTGCCGTTGACACAAATTATTCCAAAGGTTTTGGATAGATTTAGAAACTGTTGAGTGACAGAGACGAAGAATAATTCTTGGAGCTCTAATCATGATTATGTATATTCTTGTAAAATATTACTCCATCTACAAGTTTTCTAGTAAAGTGTGAGGTCGTAGACAATACACAATTAACCAAATCACGTTACTTTGCTTGTGTGCTCATAACTTCATACTTACACTAGGTACTCGAATTACGGATTTCTTTGACACTATGTTGTACGTGGCCAGATGATATGCCACTTGGATTACGAAGTCGGAAAACATAAAAATAATTAAAAAAAAAAATAATTTAGTCTTATTATTATTTTGTTGTGCATCCTGAATTACTACATATATATACTCATTTCCCAAGATTATAAATCTACTTCTACATTCTTAACTATCATGAACCCGTTGTTTTTGTAATAAACTCATCAAATGAAAAAAATATAAATCACTATATATTACACATAAAATGAAGCAAAATATTCAGTTTAGACTCTTGTATTAAAAGGACGATTTTACAATTTGCTTGTTATTTTGTTAATATAAATCCTCTTGTTTCTAAAACTTAGAGAGGCACGAACATAATAAATATGAAATGGTCTAACAAAAAAAAGACTTTGGTAACTTGTATATGCAGAACACATATATATATCCGCAAGAAGTATGTGTTTAATACATACTAGACCATGTCACCATACACATTCATTTTGATATTCGATAGATCGTCTTATTCCCATCGTCAAAATTCACCAACTAGAAAAAGAAAAAGAGATGTAAGGTAATATCCATTCCTATATATATATATATATATATATACTTATGTAGACTAGACCGACAGAACATTCACAAATCATCTTTGCCAATATTTCTTGCATATTTATTTTCTTGTCTCATACGACATGCCTCGACTTCAAGAAGAGGGAATCGGTCCAGTTCACGGCTTCCGGTTATCGACCATAAGTTCAACCAGGCCGACTGAGACTGGCACGACCCACGAACCCACCGGTTTAGACCTAGCCATGAAACTCCACTACCTAAAGGCGGTTTATATTTACTCCGCGGAGATGGCATGTGACTTGACCGTGGTGCACGTGAAAGATCTCTTCTTCACCGTGTTGAACGAGATCCCATGGGTCAACGGTAGGTTCAAGAGGCACGACTCGGGACGTCCGTACATCAAGTGCAACGACAGTGGCACGCGTTTTGTGGAAAGTCATTGTGATCTCACAGTGGAGGAGTGGCTACGTGTAACGGACCGGTCCGTTGATGAGTCTTTGGTTTATCATCAACCAGTTGGACCGGACTTGGCCTTCTCTCCATTGATCTATATTCAGGTATGTATATAACTATAGATCTACTTACTTACGTACAATACATAAACGTGCATCTTCTCGAGAAAAATAAAAATAACAAATTAAACACAATGATGTTTTTAGCTCATATAAAATAAAAGACCAAAACAATTGTAAATCACCTGAAACACCTGACCATTGTCAATTTCACTACCGTTTACAAGTGATCAGTATGGTTTTAGATCCATTAATCAAGTCCAATCATACAAAAACTAAGAATAAGCAGATAAAGGATTAGATAAACGTCAAAACGGGATGGCCTTTTGCGAATGACCATCAAGACCGGTTCTAGACAAAATAAAATAAAATAATGAACAATGATTATTGATTAAGCATTCGAATCCTACCAACAGGCAACGGTGGACCTCAACTATTACTATTAGCCACTTGATTACTCGATCACTTTCAGCCCAAGACCTAGCTTACCAAAGAAAGAAATTTTGAAATGTATGTTTCAAAACAAGATTCAGTATAAACTTAAAAAAAAAAAAAAAAAAACATATTTTAGGATCAAGAAAAATAGTTAAAATAGTTATTTAGCATAGTTAATTGGTAGAGTTTGAAAGTGTAATATACCAAACTCCACCAATTAAACATGCTAAATAACAGTTTTAACTATACAGTTAGTTGACGTAGATGACCCGGTTTGGCCTGAAAGTGTATCCATACAGTTAGTTTATCACTTTGCTTAGTAAATCATTTGCTTTGGCATGAAAGTGTAACCATACAGTTAGTTTAATTTCAGGCCAAAGCAAAGTAAAATAAACATTAAATACATCGGTCTAATCCGGTTTTGTTGACGTAGATGACCCGGTTTAGCTGCGGTGGATTAGCAATAGGCCTGAGCTGGGCCCATATAATGGGAGATCCATTCTCTCTTTCTCATTTCGTCAACTTAGGCACTCGGGCCTTCGCAGATGAGGAAATCTACTCCCCAAAACCCTCTGATTTGGATAGAGGTTTTCTAAACCCGAATTCAATGTCCAAAAACCCGGTTTCAATCAAACAGGTTGAACCGGTCGGAGACCTCTGGGTAACGCCGAGTAACAGCAAAATGACAACGTACTCCTTCAATGTAACGGTCAACGAGATACGATCACACTCTCCGGCGAACGGAGACGAATTCGAGATTCTCAGTGGGATCATATGGAAATGCGTAGCGAAGGCGAGAGCAGAATCGGAGCCGTTTACGATTACGATCATCAGATCGGATCATAACGGAATGAAACCTAGAGCTGTGAGAAACAGTCAGATGATTGGCTCCGTCCAGGTCGATTTTTCCGTCGCCGGAGCGAGTTTGGAGGAGATTGTGAAATCTATCGGAGAAGCGACCGATGAGAGGTTTTCGATCGACGAGATTGGGGAGAGTGAAGATGGTGTTTTGGATTTCGTCGTCTACGGAGCGAAACTGACGTTTGTGGATCTAAGCGGAGTTGATTTCTACAAGGCGAAAATAAGAGAGAAGTCGCCGGTGTCGGTTTACTGTAATGTTCAGGGGATAGGAGACGACGGAGCTGTGGTGGTTTTGCCGGCCGCGGAGAGGGAGGAGATGGTTGTGACTGTTACGTTTCCGGTGGATGAGATGGAGAAGGTGAAATGTGAATTGAAGAAGTGTGGTTTGGTTTATTCACGCCGTTAGTTAACGGAGAATGAATTAAACGGAAAGTGATATATTAATCTTTTCTTTATTAAGTGTGTTTTATGTAATGAATCGTTTATACTTTTGTATCATCAAATATGCTACGATTGGCGAAATTGTGTGTGGATTGAAATAAGTGAAATAGTTTGTAATCGTTTGGTTAAATTATGTTTGTTTTCGAGTGTCATGATAATAATGTACACTTGATCTTGTTAATTTTCAAATACAATTTCCTATTGTTTTTTTTTTTTGTTCAAGTTTAAAACATTGAATCAGCTCAATGCAAAATAGATTTGAAGAAAATGGAGCAACAACCAAAAACAAATGGTTAACACTTGAGTTCGGCAAAACCAGTTAAGGTTTTTGTTTTCTTGTAGTAGTAACACAGACGAAACATACTAACTAATTACTGAAAAAAACTGGATGCTCTCTCTCTCTCACAAATCCTATTGTGATGTTTAGTAGCCACCGCTAGCTCCACCACCGTAACCTCCACCACCACCACCACCACCACCGTATGATGATCTTGGTGCACTTGATCTTTCGGCTGCAAGGTTCACACGGATGTTCCTACCATTCAGCTCCTGAATCATAAGAAAAAAGACTTTCAGAGACAGAACAATTAATGAATAATAACAACACTTAAATATCAGTATTCTTATTAACCTTGCCATCCATTTCCGAAATTGCATTGGTTGCAGAATCCTCACTGTTGAAGCTGACAAATCCAAAACCCCTTGACCTCCCTGTCTCCCTGTCTGAAATCACCGATGCTGCAATCCCAAAACCAAACACACAAAACTTTCTCATTTTCCATAACATAAACACTTCTCTAATCACTAACAAAGCTAAACACCAAACAGAGACTATAAGCATATTATTGAATGGTTTACACACATATATTCCACATAGCAATTTTGATTTAATCTAAACAAAACACAGTAATGAAAAAGGAGACAGAACCAATGTGGCTTTACCTTCTGTGACTTCACCAAAGTTAGAGAAAGCTTCTTTCAAGGATTGGTCATCAGTTCCCCAAGAGAGACCTGAAATCAAATGTACATGAACAAAACATTTCAAGCTACAAAACAAGTAAGAGTAAAGGAAGATATCTACAACTATATACATACTTACCACCAACAAAAATCTTGGTGGACATGTAACGGAGAGAGCCAAGCATAGATGTCACCGGAACATTTGAGCTCTGAGAAACTCCTTGTCTCAAAAAACCACTAAGTTTGTTGCAGAAAGCCATTTCTAAATACCTGTTCACACATTACATAACCTCAGAAAATGTAAAAATCAACCAAGCTAAATAACTAATCAAAATCACAATTTCTCGATTACAAAGCTGGATTTATGAAAAAACGATAATCAACAAGCTATAAAACATCATTTTCCTTTCAATTAGACCACAAAAGAATCCCAAATCCTAAAATGTAAAAAAGATCGAGCCTTTACAAGTAGCAGACAAAGATCGATGAAAATCCAAGGCACAAAATGACAGATACCAATGCACGCATAAGCCAATTCTAAAGCTATGAAAGACAATCGAAGAGAGTCAAGAGATGAGGCAAAACCCTGACCTCAGCGAATGGAATGGCGAAATTAGGGTTTAGCGGAAGTAAACAGTGACTGAGTAAAGGAGGCAGTGAGAGTAAGAAGACAAAGCGTAGGGTTTAAGAGATTTTATACAGATCTCAGAAACTCTGGTTTTACTCTTTAAAAAGATCTTTTTGTTTTGCCCAAATTAATCACCTGAGGCTACGTGTATCGTATGAGTGTGTACTGCAATAGCTTTACCACTGGATAGACGGATGAGAGAGTAACACGTCGTTAAAGTACGTAAAAACAACGGTAGATAGAAAGAAGCTGTTCGTAGAGAATCAAGTTCCCGGATTCATTTATCTAACTTCTTCTTCTTCTTTAGTGGCCACGTGGAATTGTTTTTATCTATCACTAGCTTCATATAGACAAAAGCCCAATTATAAGACTCAAAAGGCCCATTATATGGCTAGATCCAACAAGGTACTGAAAGGTGGTGTGACACATAAAACGATCGAACCCTAATTTAATAATCGATCTAGTGGGGCAAGCGTTGAAACTTTAGAACTCTGCTTGAGGCTTTGAAGAATGACGAAGATGTCTAATGTTCCAGATGATTTGGTATTGGAGATATTCTCTAGGGTTCCATTGACATCGCTAGGCAAAGTGCGATGTACTTGTAAAAGGTGGAACGCTTTATCCGAAATTCAGATTTTTGGTAAAGAAACAGCAGCAAGGAAACAGGTTCTAGGGTTCATGGTACTTGATCATAGGGTTTGTTCCCTGAGATTCGATCTCCAAGGAATCCTCAACGAAGGAGACTTGGTTGGTCCATCTGTAAAGCAAATAAGTACACTTGATCACATTAAGATGTCTGAAGTTTTTCACGCTGACGGCTTATTGTTATGCGTCACAGAAGACAATCTCATGGTGTGGAACCCATATTTAGGGCAAACCAAATTGATCGGACGGCCTGAGAAATTTTTCGACAATAATCGCATTATTGCTTTCGGATACGACAACAACAAAAACCGTAACCATAAAATCTTAAGGATTTGGGGGGATTATGACAACACTGAAGACGGTGGAAAGAACAACCTCATAATTTTTCTGTTTAGAGTTGTATGATTTTATTTCTAACTCATGGAGGGTTCTTGATGACAAACCAGACTTTGGAATAGATGCTAATCAATGCCCCGTGCCTTTGAAGGGAAACACTTACTTTGTTGCTCAAGAGAAAATAACACAGGATGCAGTGGAACACTTTTTACTCTGTTTTGATTTTACAACGGAGAGCTTTGGTCTGCCTCTTCCGTTTCACTCTGAGGGACACGTTGTGACTTTGTCTTGTGTCAGAGAAGAGAAAGAGCAGCTCGCTGTCTTATGTAAACCTTACGAGGAATTGGAGATTTGGATTACGACTAAGATTTTGCCAAATGCGGTATCATGGAGCAAGTTTTTGAAAGTGGAGATCACACCTCTCAATGGTTTTCTGGATGAGTTTGTGTATGACTTTGATTATGGGAGCTTCTTCATTGACGAGGAGAAAAAAGTCGCTGTGGTTTTTTATGATTACTATGAAGATGATCCATCCGAGAACAACCTGTTAGGAGCTGGCATCATTGGAGAAGATGGCCACTTCAAATTCTTGGATCTCGGAGAAGCTTGGAAAAAAGGATTTTGTGAACCATTTATGTTCTCTTCTTATGTTCCAAGTTTAGTGCAACTACAACTCAACCAACGGGGCAAAAGGAAAGCAGAAGATTATTCTTATCCAAGCAAAAAAAAAAAAAAAAGAACGAAAGAAATGATTAATTAGTTCCTTAATTATGTTTAATTCATTGATTTGCATGGCCTTTCGAACAAAACTACTGATGGTCTTTTTTTTTTGATACTTTATATTTTAATAAAGAACTCGGCTTTTGCATGGTTTTTAGTCCTTTTTCTATTGTGTATGTTAGATGTGATTAACGTACGAGTTCATGTGGAAGTAGAAAGTTTATTTAAGAGATTTATTTTAGTGTTGTGGTTTATATATAGAAGAAGCTTTCATGCTATGATATTCACTTAGATGGTTCACTGCTGTGTTGGTGAATTACCCATGAATTTGTCAATGTCAATTTTAGCATGTAAGTTTTGCAATTTTGTCTGATTTTAATAGAGACTTCGCAACCAATTATTCCTACAAAACCATAAGAATCAAGGTTTTATGGCGGAAAAGATTTAGGTTATTGGTTTTGGTATAAGCAACAAGTAATGAAAAAAGTATATAGAAACAAAAAAGGAAAAGGAAATTAAAGTTTGTTGGAAAGAAAGAAAAGGAAAAGAGGTTCTTAAAGCGGTGATGACACATAATAGGATCGAACTCTAACTTCAAAGAGAGGCAAGCTAAAACCCTAACTTGCGTTGAAAGTTAAAAAAAACAACGATGATGACGACGATGTCCAATTTTTCAGAGGATTTCAGAGAAGCTTAGAAACATGTAGTGGATCTCAGAGAAGCTTGGAAACATGTAGTTAATATACCATCTGCGTTCTCTTCTTATGTTCCAAGTTTAGTGCAAGTACAATTAAACCAACGGGGCAAAAGGAAACTAAAAGATTGTTCTTATTCAAAAAAAAAGGAAAGAACAAAAGAAATGATTAGTTGGTTCCCGATGGTTATGTTTCTCATAATTTTTATTATAATAAAGAATTCGGCTTTTGCAATTTTTAGCTTTTTTTTCTATAGTTTCATGTGCAAGTAGAAAGATTATTGAAGAGAATTGTTTTTGTGTGTTTGTTTATAGAAGAAGCAAGCTCTCGTGATATATATTATAGTTCGTCAGATTTTCTTCACTTTTTAATGTGTTGGTGAATTATACCAATGAATTTGTCAATGTCAGCACTAGAGACAAGGTAGCAGCCAACCTGTCAGCAACTCAGCATGCAGGTTCGTGTGACTTAAATTTCATCGAAGAAAACCTGTCTACTATCAACATGGGCTTATGTCTCTCAAACAGACTGTTTCTGTGCTTAATTAAATAACACCCCACAGGTAAAGACAAAGGCCCACCTGTCTAAGTTCAATCTCCAAAACGACAGAAACAAAGAAAGGAAAAAGGAAAGAGTTAAGGAAATAGGAAAGAGTTTACTGTAAAAAAATGTATATATATGGAAGAGTTTTTAAAGCGGTGGTGAAAAAAAAAAGATCGAACCCTAACTTGAGAGTTGAGAGAGAGAGAAAAAAAAGAGCGCAAGCGTTTAAAGTTAAAAAAAGAAAAAACTCTGCTTGTAGGCTTGTAGCTACGAAGAATGACGACAATCTCCAATTTTCCAGAGGATTTGGTATTAGAGATACTCTCTAGAACTCCATTCACATCTCTGAGCAAAGTGCGTTGCACTTGTAAAACGTGGAACGCTTTATCCAGAATTCAGATTTTTGGTAAAGAAACATCAGCAAGGAAACACGTTCTATGGTTCACGGTTATTGGTTCTAGGGTTTGTTCCTTGAGATTCGATCTCCAAGGAATCCTCAACAAAGGAGACTTGGTTGATCCATCTATAAAGCAAATAAGTAAACTTGATCACATTACGATATATGAAGTTTTACACAGTATTGTTATGTGTCGCCTGCGAAGACGAAAGCAAGCCAAAGCTCATGGTGTGGAACCCGTATTTGGAGCAAAAGAGATGGATCCCACAATCCAATAAAGGTTTAGACCGAGAAGACATGTTTGCTTTCGGATACGACAACAACAACAAGAATCGCAACCACAAAATCTTAAGGATTTTCGAAAAACTTTTCAAGGACAAAGGCGTCTGGGAAGCTCAAATTTCCTGTTTAGAATTGTATGATTTAAATTCTAATTCATGGAGGGTTCTTGATCTCAAACCATATTTTTATATAGATTGTTGTGAATGCATCACGTCTTTAGAGGGAAATGCTTACTTTGTTGCTCAAGCGGTATCAACACAGGATGAAGATGAGAAACGCTTTTTACTCTGTTTTGATTTTACAACTGAGAGCTTTGGTCCGCGACTGCCTCTGCCGTTTCACTCTAAGGGAGAAGTTCTGACTTTGTCTTGTGTTAGAGAAGAGAAAGAGCAGCTCGCTGTCTTATGGCAATATGACGAGGAATTAGAGCTTTGGATTACGACTAACGTTTTGCCAAATGCAGTATCATGGAGCAAGTTTTTCAAAGTGGAGATCACACCTCTCAATAGTTTTCCGGATGAGTTTTGGTATAACTTTGATAATGGGAGCTTCTTCATTGACGAGGAGAAAAAAGTCGCTGTGGTTTTTTTTGAATACTATAAGGAGGATAAAGATGAAATTGAATATGATCCAAACAAGGAGATAGTACAGCAAGGAGCTTACATCATTGGAGAAAACCGAAGCTTCAAATTTGTGGATCTCGGAGAAGCTTGGAAACCTGTAGTTTGCAAACCACTTGTGTTCTCATCTTATGTTCCAAGTTTAGTGCAAGTAGAATTCAACCAACGGGGAAAATGAAAACTAAAAGATTGTTCTTATTAAAATAAAAAGAAAGAACGAAAGAACTGTTATAGTAAGAAGAGAGAACAAGAGAAAAGAGGAATTGGTTGTGTATTATTAGTCCTTTATATAGGGATACAAGAGAAAGGTTTCCTTGGAGAAGAGGTACAACTTGGAGAACAAGCTAGAACATTCTAGAATATGAGCCGATAATGGGCTTCCATATAAACTAATCATAACACTCCCCCTTGGAAGTCCATTATCTAGAAATATCTTCTAAGTGCGCATGATGCTGCCTCGTTAAAACCTTACCAGGAAAACCAAAGGGAAAAACCTTAGTTAAGGAAAAAGAGTACCACTACAAGAAAAAAGCTGTATTGTTAAAATTTGGTCATAATAACAACTATTTCGTAACAATAAAATTATTGCTACTGATTTGTGACAATTTGTAAATGGTAACAATATGCTCGTCACAATTCATTATTTGTAACAAAAACGTCACAAGACTTAAGACGAATATTTTAGTAATCATTTTGTCACAAACAGTGGCGAGAATTTAACGTAACAAAATTGTCACAATTATTAACTAAAAAAAACGTCTGAAAACCGTCGTATTTTGTGACAGTCACAACGTCTCAACTCGGTCATTCATATTTACTGAAAAAATGTCACCAATACGTCATAATTTGTGAATATTGTACTGTCTTAATTAGCTACTAATTTGGCATACTTTTGTCTCGATTTCTCACTAAATTATGTTAAGTTATATATTGTTCATTATTAAATCGTCATCAATATTAACTATATCCTTGTCTGCTTTATTCCATTTAAGCAATATATTATGATTTATATTTGTTTTATTATAATGTTGAAACTATAAAACGAATCTACTATTTTTTCTAAAATTAAGAAAGGAACCAACATTCAAAATAAAATTGTTATATAATCTTGGAATCGATATATCATTTAAAACTAGATGGTATCCCGCGCTACGCGCGGGCTATTTGATCAACAAATTTGTCAATAATTATGTTTGGTAATTGTTTTTAGGGCTTGACTGGTTTAACCGCTGCGGTTGCGGTTGCGGGTGCGGGAGTTTGCGGAAGCGGGCGGTTGTGATTAGTAGCGTTATTAAGCGGTTTGTACGACTGGCATAACAATTGAAAATGGATGCGTTTGCGGGTTACTTATGACTGGTTCACTTGCGGATGCAATAGCGGTTAAACAATAAATTAATAATATAAACACATTATATAATTATAAAAATATCAAAAATATATTATAATGAAAATTTTAAATTTATGGTTCAACATAATTAAAAATAATTTTTTTATAAAGAATAATATGTGTATAATACTTACGTCTATCTTTTAATTTCTATAATTTAAATAAAAATGTGATTTTATTTTCAAAATATATATTTAATGTGAAAATTAAATTTATTTTACAATTTTATTTATTAGATATATATGTATTAGTATGAAAAGAATATTTATCAAGAGAATTTTGATTTGTAGAACTTATAAATATATAAGTATTATATGATTTTAATGAATATTGACTAAAAGTACTAATTTTTTATTTATATTGTGATTTTATTATCCAAATCTTATTTTTTAATAAATATTATTATTTATTTTCGGATTTTATATAAGTTTGTGTTTTTTTTTTTTTTTTTAATTATCCACCCGCCCGCCCAACCGCAAACGCTTGCGGAAAGGAGCTTTTGATTTTCAGCGATATAGAGCGGTACAGAGTGGTATAGAGCGATTCAAAGTGGTTGTCGTGATTGTTATAAACCGCTGAAAACCGCTACGAACCGCAAACGCTGCGTTTGCGGGTGGTAGCGGGAGAACCAATCAAGCCTAAAATTTCATCTGTTAAATGCAGCTTACAATATATATTTGATATCAGTTTAGAATCTAAGGGCCTAGATCGCCATATTTGATTGAGGCTGTCTTCGTGGCGGGAGTGACGGTTCGTGGAGATGAATCCCTGAACTGCATTAGACTGTAAAAATTCCAATTGTTGATTAGTTTCTAATCATCGCTCCATGACTCGATAGATTACTCGGAAATAAAAAATCATATCCATGACTCGATTACCTCTTCGTATGGAGAAGGACCTCAAAATCCAAAACCAAAAGCACGTTGGCTTCTCACAAATGCAGAAGCCGAACCAACACCTCCGCGAACCAACACCTTCGATTTTGTCAAAACACCTTCAAAGTCTGCGGCTTAGCAGAGGGAGTAAGAGCGGGGAATGCCATCGCTAGATTTCGGTTTTTGTTTCGAGGGAAGATAGCTGAAAAGTTAGGGTGGATCTAGTGAGTTTGAAGATGAGGGCTTTATAGGATCACAGAGAGAGAAATCCGAACGAAGTGGCCATAAATTGGAGACATTGAGTGCGCATCAGGTGAAACGATTGAAGTTAAGGTGAGTTGAATCGTTTGGTGTTCTGTTTTTTAAATAAAGCGGAGAAGATGACCACGACATATCTAGTTTGTTGGGCTTAATCTTTCGTGAGAATACATGTTTAGTTGGGCCTCTTAACTCAAACAAACCCAACCAAAGTATTTTCGGTTTTAAGTTATTATTAATATAAGAAATAACACGTGACAACTGTGGAGATAATTTAAAAGTGTTGGCCTGAGAGGCCCCAAACAGCTGTTTTAAATTAGTAAAGATATGTATGAAAGGTATATCAGTTTACATTAGTATTAGTATTGTACAAGAAGAAATCCATTCATAATATATAAAAATATATATTTGCTTGCTTCGATATTATTCCATGGATGGTGTTATCACCACTGGCTTTAGTGTGCTATGTCTCTATCTTTGATCTTCCGTTATATATACTCCTTTCTCCTCTTCTGAAAAGATCACTCCCTTCTTCTCCTATAGCTATGGACTCCGGAAGGCACACACACCACCACAATGTTGGAGACTATGGTGATATAACTGCTCAGACGAACTGACGAACATCAGTTTCCTCTCTCTTTAAGATATAAGCTATATTGACATGATCTCTCTCTCAATGGCAGCGGCGACGGCTACTTTTTTTTTAGGTGCAGAAAGTATAGACATAAGTATATATACACACACATATCTTCTTTGTCCTTGTAAGGGTTTTTCACTAATGAGCTTTTATTATTAATAATATATAACAATTTGGCTTAATGGACTTATAATTACTTGTATTCACGTTAAATATTATTCAAATAATTTAAATTCTATAATTAATCAATTATTTTGGAATATTTTGTTGATAACATTCGTGATTGTTATGTGGTCTTACAAAAAATATGGGTCTTTATTCTTCTAGCCAGTATAGTTTGATCGAAATTTTCTTATAAAAATATTGAAAAAAATATATTTATAAAGAACTTGTTAGAATGAGAGAAAAAAAACCCATAGTTTCACAACAAAACTTTTATAATAACAAATTCTTTTAAAATCATGACTGAATAAAACTTTAGTAAATCAATCAAGAAATGTAATTATTTTTTAACACATTTCATTTGCAATTTATTACGATTTTTGTTTTTTTGGTTTTGATTATACCAATTAGTAACTTATGTTTAGTCATTATATTATTACAAATTCATACAGTAATTTTCATCACAAATTAGTAACCACGTTGTGACGATACATTTGGTGAAAATATTGTCACAATGGTTATGACTACGAATTTTGTCACAATTTTGTTGCTAGTTGTGACAAATATCGGTTACGATTTAGATGGTAACAATATTGTGACAAAATAGCTACTCATTTGTGACATAAATATTTGGTCACAATATCGTATCTATCATATCACTGATTTGTGACAACTAATTATGGTAACAAAATTTAGTGACAATATCTCATTTTTCTTATAGTGTACAGCGCGCAACTACTCCCCTCATGAGAACATCCGTGTAGATTAGGTGAATGAACTTCTTGATAATAGCAGATGGAAACTCCTTTAAAATCTTCACTTGAACAGTCTTTAGAACATTGACATCGCCATTCTTCTTGGGTGCATGGGTCAAGATGATTCATCTTGATCAATCTCCTTGCTTCACTTGATCTCATAAATAGATGACAAGACTTCTTTAGATGTTTCTCATTTGTGTGTTCTTTGTTGCCTCATTAAAACCTTTCATGGAAAAACCCAATGGGATAAAAACCATGATAAGGAAAAAGAGTACAACCACACATATCATCATATTCTCCCCCTTGGAAGCATATTCTTCAGGAGATGCATTCCAATACTATCTTTTGGAGATTACTATAAGTATAACTTTGATGAAAGTCATTTAGACTTTTAGTCTATGACATCTTTTTCTATAAATAATCATTTGGACTTCTGGCCAAATTTTCTCTTTTATATACATTCTTGTAAACATCTATCTTGTATATATAATCTCATGCTCATTTTGCTCATTTTCAATTATGAAAGAGACTAACATATTTTCAAATAGCATTTGAAGTATGGTACTTCAGGACCAAATATATGTGAGCATTGCTTATGTAAATCATGCCATAACATTTCTGGGAATTTGGGATATATCTTAAGACAACTTTGTCTTTCCAAATCTTTTATCCCATCTCCTTTTGTGATACTAATTTCGACAATTCTTCTGGAATTTCGATCATGTTTAGACTAAAATCTCTTTTGATCTATAAATATACATGGTATTTGTTAGCTTTATATATTCACTTTCGTGATTATATCCATGAATCAAATTTCTTTTCATTTGATTAATAGCTAATATTTTCCGGGAACAAAACAATGATATCATTAATTCTTAATGATTATATCCTTCAGGGACTTTTATAAAATCATTGTTTAGTGAGTTGTATAAGTCAAGTTCTTCTTTCATTGCCAGACTTAATGAACTTGAAAGTTGCATCCACCACATGAGAGTATATCTCTTCATACTCATTTTCTTCGGCACAAATGCCAAATTTATAACTCACTTGTTTCACACTTTTTAGGTGAAAGGACTTCTGGTCCAAATACTTTTCTCTTTC